GCCTTTGTATCAAGACCCCTAGACCATATAGAGAATTCACTTATATTCTAAATTGCATTGTCATCGTGATTTGAACTATGCTGAAAATTTCAAGTCTCTAACTCGTCGGGAAGTTAGTTTGAAATCGATTGGAAATTTCCGCGATTTCCGCGGGATGACCAAGTTAAATAAAAGCTTATAAAAATGAAAATGTTCTTTTCGGGAACAAATAAACTAATTTTTTATAATTAAAAAGTTTTTCATTATCGATTTACAACAAAAGTGTGGTGAAACACTTTGATTTAAAGCACTTTACTTCGTAAAACATAATTCACTTTTACTTTTAAATTTTACTGTTCAATGATTTTTCAAAAATTTTCTTTTTTTATTTATTCATCTTTGTGAGCTGTAAAAATGAAAATATTCTTTTCGGGAACAAATAAATCAATTTTCTATGGCTGCGTTTCTTTATACATTCCCGATAATCCGATTTCACAGTCGGAATAAACAGAATGCGTTTGAAATATACGTTAACATATCATCAGGAACGTTCTAAAGAATAAGTAAACAAAAAAGTTTATTCCAAACGTTCAGAATCAAGGCGAATATATATATGGTGGTGTTGCTAGATCAGCTGATGAGATGTTTTTATTCGCCTCCCGGCTTAAAATGTCAAATACAAAGTTGTTTACAAGGCGCATTCACCTAGCTTATTTTCTTCAACGTGAGCTGACTTGAGTTTTCAAAATAATTGTGAAGTTTTGTGAATTATTTGTGAAAATGTTTGAAAAATAAGAAACATGGGAAAGTGTCCCAAAGAAAGAAGCACCGGGATAGAGTCCGTTTTTCCGAATTCCGACCGACGAGAGGCGAAAGATCTTGTGGACCCAGGCGTGCAGAGTGCAATTTCGGGCTAGGGTCATTCATTTATAATAAAACTGTTCATTTAAAATTAAACTACAAAAATTTATGTTTAACAATACATATGCGTGCATGTATTTTTTAATGCTTTTTATATTCAAACTCTTCTTCAGTGGCTCATCGGGATCCACTTTTAGGGGACGCGGCTTAAACAATCCCAGTCTTTCGAGGAAATTCCAGCGATTTTGACAATGCTTTTGATTTTATAATCTCAGGCACTTCAACCTGCATTACATCCTTAAGGTCCGTCGGGCTGCTTCAATAAATTCGGACATGCCATTACCGATTTCCAAATTTCAAGTAACTCATCTGCTTGCGCAGACGCAGCTCATTGGACACATCCAAACACTGCATATTTCGTTAAGAGTAGAAACATTTATTTCTCACTGAATTGTCAGCTGTGCCAATGTTCCATTGCATCTATTAGATGTTTAGTGGGGCGTGAAAGCACGTTGCCAGTGGGTATCAGGAATTTTAGCCAACAGATTCAACTGCACCGCCTCCTGAACATGTGCTCGTTCCAAGCGGGTGTCGTTGGTTTGTTGTGCATGCTTGGTGGTGGTTTCAAATCCACTTTGACAAATGTTTTCATATATAAAACATTTAAAATACTCTCTAAAACAAATTAACTTTATCTGATAGAACCAAAATATAATCAAGTGAATAATAGAACTGTCAGATATAAATTCGCCTTGGCGAGTAGTGTCAAATGATTTCGCCTTGATTTTGACAGTTTACGCCGCCAAAGCAAAAACAAAATACATGTAATTTTTATTTTTGTACAACTGCTATCACCTCCTTCGCCTTGTTCAGAATAAATAAAGAAACGAAAAAAAGTTTTTCATTATCGATTTACAACACTATGGCTGCATTTCTTTATTCATTCTGAACGTTTGGAATAAACTTTTTTGTTTACTTATTCTTTAGAACGTTCCTGATGATATGTTAACGTATATTTCAAAGGCATTCTGTTTATTCCGGCTGTGAAATGGGATTATCCGGAATGTATACAGACACGCAGCCTATAATAAAAGGTTTGATCAGAAAACAGTATTCTCGTTCCCTCTTGACAAAATAGGAACCTTAGTGTCTGGGTGCGTGTGTGTGTGCATCCGTTTGTTAGGGAGTTAAGGGAGTGTCAAAACTCTAATGTCACTAGTGAGCAAACCTTTAACTATTGGATCATGGTCCCATTCTAATTTGGCTTAAATCCAATTATTGGATCATGAAGAAATTTACGATAATCTGAAATTTTTATATGAGAATTGAAGTCGGTTTTGTTTTTGCTTAAAAATTACTTGTTATATAATTTCAAACTTTGCAGAAAAATTAAACCAATGTTTACAACACAAACTTTATTAAGATTTTTTTTGAAAAACTTTAAGAAGGGGCTATCAAATTAAATTTTGACGTGACAGCATCAGCAAAGAAAAAAAAAATACAAAAATCAAGGCGAATTCGTAGCCACTTGAAACTTATACTTTTAATGTGCTATAATACCACATACTTGGAACTATTCTAAAAATTCGCAATAAAACGTTTGTTGTAAAAACTTTTTTTGTATTTTAAAAAATTTTCTGGGCTTTGTAATTTTGATTTACATATATGTTTTTTTTAGATAATGAGCTGCATTTTTATAAAAAAGAATTATAAACATTTAACAAACAAAAGAAAAATAACGAAAACGTGTCTATTATTTTTCACATGACTGTATATATTCGTCTTAGATTTGAGAAGGCTATGTCGGGAATAGTATATACATACACTAACTTTTTATCTAAACTTCAAGCAATGTTTTAATGAAACTTGACAATATTTGGACATTTTTGCTGGAATCGAAATTATTCGCAAACTGGAAAACCAGCATACTCATTAGAACTGGGAAGACCACTCGAAAACCTGATATTTCGTCTTTGGTTTGAGTAAGATTTGATGGCGCCTACTCGCCCTGATTTTAAAACACTTGGGTGCAGCGAGAGTAGATTAGCTCTCTAAGGTCCTCAACTTGTCTTTGTCTGCTCTCGTCATTCCTGAGAGTGGTTCCTTTACTGAAACCTGGGAAACTAGGCAATGAAGGTGAGTTTTGTCGTCTGAGGGCAATTTAAGTCTTATTACTCTTTAAGGTCTTACTGCTCCTGCTGACCTCCGCTACTCATATAGTATGGCTTCCGCTCAATCACAGCTTTAAACCTCAGTTCTCTTTTGAGATCAGATCTATTTATAAGGTAGGCTGAATTAAAAAGGGCGACGTAACCAGGTTCTTATCTGGCCAAGAACTGTAACTCCAGCAACATTCCCCAAAAACTCTGGGGAATTTATATGTTGTTACAACAACAACAATGACCACAATGAGGTGTTTAACTTTTACATTTCAAAGCTCCCTCAACCACCAGAGGGAGTCTGGATTGTCTCTTACGCCGACGACTGCTCGATCCTGGCGTCTGGGAATGGAATTGATGACTTGTGTTCGAAAGTAAACGGGTATCTCTCCGAGCTTTCTCTTTTCTTCACTGCAAGGAGCCTAACCTTCTCCCCTTCAAAATCCTCTGCGACCTTGTTCACCACCTGGACGAAGGAGGTCAGGACGTCGATGATACACCAATTCCGACGGTGAATAACCCCAAAATTCTCGGAGTAACCTTCGACAGTCTGCTCTCCTCTGCGCACGCAACCGCTATTGTCAACAAAATACAGAGCCGCAACAAGGTCCTCAAGTCGCTAGCCGGCAGTACTTGGGGCAAAGACAAAGAAACGTTACTGGCAACATACAAGGCAATAGGCCGGCCGGTTGTAAATTACGCAGCACCAGTGTGGTCGCCGGGCACTAGTAGAACGCAGTGGATGAACCTACAGACGACACAAAACACTGCCCTTAGGACAGCGACTGGATGCCTTCTGATGTCGCCAGAATACCACCTGTTAAGGAGCATAAGTCAATGCTCTGCAAGCAGTTTCTGTTGGGAGCCACAGACGTTGTCACCCAAATAGACAGCTGCTTGCAGAAGAGTCCTCGCCCAGGCACGTCAGGAGGCATCTCTACGACAACAACAACAACAACATCGAACTGACTGACGAAGTCCATCATCAAGCAGCCTCTGGACCCGTCAGCATATCGACAGGCCCTGAACGGCATTCACAGGGAGTCAGTTTCGAGTTATGTAGACTCCAGACCTGTGAATGCCGTTCTAGGCACACAACCACCGGACATCGACGAGACGGAGCTTCATCTGCCTCGGGACACCAGAACTACAATAGCCCAACTTCGCTCTGGCTACTTCAGCAGGTTAAACCCATACCTCAGAAGATTAGATGCAGATGTGCCAAATGAGATTCCGGAATGCGAAGAGATACTCCACGACTCGAAACATCTCTTCGTATGCTCGGAAAATCCGACAACTCTAACGCCTTTGTCCCTGTGGACCGATCCCATTGAGGCTGCACGCTTCCTGGGGCTTCCGTTAGTGGAGCTTGACGACAACGACTGAGCGGGGTTGTAGTAGCCGCGTCAGCCCACTAGTGTTTTATTGCCATGTCTCGAAGCCAATGATTTCTTGCTTCTTCACTCCCCAGAAGATAATTTAGAAGAAAAAAGTGTCTCCTTACATGCCTTCTAGAAGGGCTTATCAATTTAAAATTTACCCGAATGCATAAATTTATATTATTTAACATTACAAATGAATTTCAATAAACATTTTAAGTTGAAATACCACATATTTGATGTAAACCTTAAGCAAATACTTCAAAGATGTAGGATTTTTAAAAATTTAAGCAGCAACTATAAAAAAAGGCCTTCTGAAGTACGTCGTATGAAAGCCCTTCTGGAAGGCCTTCCATGGGTAGCGAAAGAAGCCCTTCAATTTGTGCCACTCCCTACAAAAAAAAAGAGAAAGGAATGTAGAGTGGAAGGCCTCTTAACTCTCAGGAAGGCCTTTCGAAGGGCTTTTATCTTCTGAAATTACTGGGTCCACGTAGCAATACCCTCCCCTACAAAATCAATGTCGACCTTCAACCCCTTGACAAAGGGGGTCAAACGGCAATTAGGTATCCACGTCGATGGCATACCCATGCGAAGCAGATGTGCTCTATGTACGTACAACTATTGAGGGATTTCGATGAAACAACCGCCCTTGATCGGGTAAAACCCTATTCATTCCGGTACGTAGAACCGGCTCCCAATTAAGGAGCATAACACAATGCTCTGCAAGAAATTCCTAGTAGGGTATCAACGACGTGGGCACCCGANGAGCATAACACAATGCTCTGCAAGAAATTCCTAGTAGGGTATCAACGACGGGTGCCCACAGACATCTGCTTGCGGAAGACTGCTCGCCAAGGCACATCAGAAGGCATCTATATGAACTCAAGGACGAACCGACAGGCCTGGATCGGCATTCACAGAGAGTCAGTCTCGAGTTGTATAGACCAGAGGTGCTCAATAAATTTAAGTTACTGAACCAAACGACAACATCGTCAATACCAATTACAAGAACATCGTTTTGCGAATTGCAAAAAACATTTCATTCAGTGAAAGAATGTCGATCGAGTTTCGTCCTTTTTTTCGTAGTAACCAGGGAACGGATTTTTAGGACCTAGAAACCTACTAAAAAAAGGCAAAATACAAGTAATTTTTAGCAAAAAAAAA